GATATGCTGTCAGCCTCGATCCCTGTCTTACTCAGGCATAGCCTCCCTTCCCCTGACTAAGCCCTTACTGACCATATGCTTTAAAAATCCTTTTCTTGCAATCGATCACTTTCTACTCCTTTAAAGATGAGTTACTTTTTAGCTTAGCGTCCTGTTACAGAAATCAATCAGGCTAGGGATTTCAGATGATTGGTAGATAACTGTCCCTATCAGCAACTGTCTGTTTAACTACGATAACAAGGGCAGTGGGGTATGCTTTCTGATCAATACCACCTGGTGCTTGGTTGTAGCGACCCTGGCAAGCCACTGCCCCCCTGACCTAGAATATCTTACAGTAAAATGCTGTCCCTAGTACCTACCATGAGAGTTACCTTCCGCCATCCTGACAGCAGTCTACATACCACCTATGCAGATGTGAAGAATGCCCTAGATGAGACCTACACTGCCACAAATACCCTACAGACAAAATTCCCCGAGGCCCTATTCATAGAGGCTGGTGACTTCAACCAGGTCAACTTCAAGCAAATGATACCAAAGTACCACCAACACATCTCCTGCCCCACCAGGTGACCGAACATTCTGGACCATTGCTACACAACAATCAAAGACGCCTACCGCTCAATCCCCTGTCCACACTTGAAAAAATCGGACCACAGCTCACTGTGTTCCTCCTCCCAGCTTACAAGCAGAAGCTGAAACAAGAGAATCCTTCACAAAACGAAGTACAGTGCTGATCCGAGGCAGCGGAAGACCGTCTCTGGGACTGCTTGGACTTGACAGATTGGACCGTGATCAAGTGTTCAGCGGAAAACCTAGACTAGTATGCCACTACAGTCATGGGCTTCATCAGCAAATATGAGGAGGACTGTGTACCAAAGAAGTCAATCCGAGTGTTCCCCAACCGTGGCAACACCTGCCCCGACAGGCCCAGACACACCTGTTCCCTCTGTCACTGCTTCAGAAGTCAGATCATTCTTCCTGGGAGTCAACCCAAGGAATGTGACGGGCCCGGACGGTGTCCCTGGCCGAGCACTCAGATCCTGTGCAGACCAGCTGGTGGAGGTATTCACTGACATCTTCAACCTTCCCCTCCTACAAGCTGAAGTCCCCACCTGCTTCAATGAGACCACATCATGCCTGTACCCAAGAAAACACATGCAGTGTGCCTTAATGACTACTGCCCAATAGCTCTGACTTCAATAATCATGAAGTGCTTCGAGAGGCTGGTCATGACCCACATCACCTCCAGTCTCCCAACCTGCCTTGATCCCCTACAGTTTGCCTACTGGCATAACAGGTTCACAGAGGATGTCATACACCTAGCCCTGCACTCATCCCTGGAACATCTGCACAACAAAGACACCTACGTCAGACTTCCTGCTTGTTGGCTACAGCTGCACCTTCAATGCCATTATCCCCTTCAGACTGATCTCAAAACTGTGTGACCTTGGTCTCAGCTTTGCCGTCTGCAACTGGATCTTCAGTTTTCTGACCTATTGGCCGTCATCAGTGATGGTAGTTAACTGCACCTCCCCCACAATAACACGCAACACTGTGGTCCCTCAAGGATGCATCCTCAACCGTCTACTGTACTCCCGGAACACCCACGACTGTGTTGCCAAATTCCGAATGAATGCCAAATATAAGTTTGCTGACGACACCACCATAGTGGGACAGATATCTAAAAACAATGAGTCAAAATACAGAAGAGAGGTAGAGGGCTTCGTGATGTGGTGCAATGAAAACAATCTGTCTCTCAACGTCAGCAAAACTAAAGAACTGATCATTGACTTCAGAAAGAAAGGAGGAGAACACGCCCCCATCTACATCAATGGAACTGATGTTGAGAGAGCGAAAAGCATCAAGTTCCTCAGAGCGACAATAACTGACGACCTGCCCTGGACTTCCCACGTAAATGCAACAGTCAAGAAGGCACAACAATGCCTCTTCTTTCTCAGGCGGCTCAGGAAATTTGGCACATCCATAAGGTCCCTCACCAACTTCTACAGATGCACCATTGAAAGCATACTGTCCGGGTGTATAATGGCCTGGTATGGCAACTGCTCTGTCCAGGACCATAAGAAACTACAGAAGATGGTATGAACAGCCCAGACCATCACGGAAGCCAACCTTCCATCCATGGACTCTATTTACACGGTTCACAGCCACAGAAAGGCGGCCAATATCATCAAAGACCCATTGCACCCTGGTAATGATCTCCTATAACCTCTTCTGTCAGGCAGAAGATACAGAAACCTGAACATGTGCACAAGCAGGTTCAGGAACAGCTTCTTCCTGGTCGTTATCAGACTGATGGATGGGCTCAAGCCTCAAATAACGTAACCTGTATGCCTCTAAGTCTTTTTGATCTGTACATCCTTTGCTTGCTGTGATCTGCCTGTAACACTCGCCAACAAAGCTTTTCACTGTATTTTGGTACACGCGACAATAAAAATCAATCAACAGGATATTTTAACTTACTTAAGGGCTGTTAGTTCTAGGTCAGAATCTGACCTTTAGTGTGAAATTAAACTTAAAAAGATTTGAAATTGAATTCCCATTTTGAACCAAATTCCCAGATATACTCAATAAAAACCGAAAGAACTGCGGATGCTGTAAATCAGGAACAAAACTAAAAGTTGCTGAAAATGCTCAGCAGGTCTGGCAGCATCTGTGAAGAAGAAAATCAGAGTTATTAGAAGTTAGAAGAACAGAGTGTTTGAAATCTGAGACGCCAAACAAGGACCGAGTTCATTGACTACAGAGCAGCTCTGGTACCCACTCTTCTGTATGCGTCAAAAATATGTACCATGTATAGCAGACACATCAAATCCCTGGTGAGTTAGTCCTGCACTGCCTTTGCAAAATCCTGCAAATCCACTGGCAGGTTTACCAATGTGAGCATCTTCTCCCTGTTCAACATCCCCAGTATTGCCAGGCACTGGTCACCGACATTGTTTGCATGCGTGCCACAAGACTCCCTAAACAAGTGTTGTACTCTGAGCTACAGACAGCAGAGGAAACACTACAAGGCCACACTGAAAGCCTCCCTAAACAGATGCAGCATCCCCACTGACATGGGAATAGCTTGCCCTAGAACATACAAACTGGAGAAGCATCTGCAAAGGCTCCAACCACTTTGAGTGTCACCAAATAGAGCATGTGGAGGCCAAGTGCAAGCAGCAGAAAGAGCACACAGAATCCAGAGTGCCCCACCCACCTGCCTCCTCAAACATCAGCTGCAGCAAACTCTGCAGCTCCAGGATTGGACGGTTCAGCTCCCCCACGTGCAAGTAAGGCATCCTCAACCATGAGGGACTGCCAAAGGAGGAGGAAGATATTGTGGACATTGCTTTGTGCCAAGATTAGAACAGTTCAAACTCAGCAAATACTGCTTCCCATTTGATGTTTGATTTGATTTGATTTCTTACTGTCACATGTACCGAGGTACAATGAAAAGTGTTTTCTTACGTGCCTTACGGACAGATCGTACTATACAACTGCATCAGGGTAGCACAACAGAGTACAGGATACAGTGTTACAGCTGCCGAGAAGGTGCAGAGAGAGATCGACATTAACATTTAGGAGGTTCATTATCAGCAGTCTGATAACAGCAGGGAAGAATCTGTTCTTGAATCTGTTTGTACGTGCATTCAGACATTTATATCTTCTGACCAATGAAAGAGTGTGGAAGAGAATATAACCGGGGTGGGTGGGGGGGCAGTCTTTGATTATGCTGATTGCCTTCCTGATGCAATGGCAAATATAGATGGAGTCAATGGATGGAAGGCTGGTTTGCATGATGGACTGGGCTGTGTTCAGAACTCTCTGTAGTTTCTTGTGGTCTTGGGAAGAGTAGTTGCCTTACCACGCTCTGAAGCATCAAGATAGGATGTTTACTATGGCGCATCTATAAAAATTTGTAAGAGCCGTTATGGACATCTCAAATTTCCTTAGCCTCCTGAAGAAGTAGAGGCGTTGCTGTGCTTTCTTGACTCTAGTGTCAACATGTGTGGATGAGAACAGATAGCTGGTGATTGTCAGCCCCAGGAACTTAACGCTGTCAACCATCTTCACCTCAGAACCAGCCTCCACTTTGCTTTCTGAAGTCAATAAGCAGCTTCTTCGTTTTGCTGACGTTGATGGAGAGCACGCAGAAAGTGAAACAACGCACAAATGTCTCACTTTTAGAGAATATGTAGTCAAAGACATTTAATGCTGTACATGTTTTGTCAGTTGGCCTCACAGTGTGGTGCTCTTGTACTTACTGGAAGCTACATGTATTAAAACACAGGACCCTGTTCTTTGGAGACAAAGGGACTTTTTTATTCACTTGTGGGACGTGAGTTTCATTGGCTGGGCCAGCATTTTATGCCCATCACCAGTTGCCACTAAGAACTTGGTAGTGAGCTGACTCCTTGAACTGCTGTATGTACACACACTGCAAACACATCTCAAAGTAGATACTGCCAAAGAACCATTTTTGAGGTGTGAACTCTATTATTGTGCAGGCCAATTCATCAGTCAATTTAGGCATAACAGGATCTCAGAAATGAGGTAAATGCCCATGGAAGACCATTAAACTGTTCTTAGCTAGAAGAACAAGTTGACAGAGTCTCTTTTTAACATTATTGGAAGGGATTGGGAGATGGAATTTGGGCGACACCGGAATCAATGAGATTTCTAGCCTGCATAACAAGCATCTTAAGTTCTAGTTGGTGGGAAACATCATTTCTTTTGTCCACTTTATTTTACTTGAAAAACAGTTTTGGAGTTGTTTAGATGGGTAGGAGGGTGTGGGGGAGCATTGCTGAGTTTCCCCAGCAGTTCTGTATTGTCCTCCTGAAATCATTGTTGTGCCCATGATTCAAATATATTCCTGACAGAAAGCTCATTGGGGTCCTGTTCCGGTAGATTTCCAATTTTGAGTCAAATGATCTCTAGTCAATCCTTCCATCTCCCTGAATTGTTTCATATTTCCTCTTGTCCTTCGTTTACAGTTTACGAAGTTGTAACTGTAACAGGTGATGTCCGAGGAGCCGGAACCGATGCCAATGTCTTTGTAACTCTCTTTGGCGAATGTGGGATCACACCAAAGGTGCACCTGACCAGCAAGTAAGTGAAATTTGTTTCCAGAGTTCAGGGCTATGAAATCAGATTGTTGTGCCATAATTATTCTGTAATTAATATTAATCTTGCCACCACTGAGGGGTATAAACAGAGAGGATGGCATTTATTTCATTCACAGCCACCTCCTGTGCTGATTGCATAACACTCAACACATTTCTAAGACTAACATTTCCATTAACGTTTAATAGTTGTGCATGGATTATCAGTGCATGTTTTTATTCAGCCTCACACCCAGGTTAGTTCATGTGAAACAAAGCCTGCATGATACCATCCAGGTTGCTACAAGTTTTGCTGACCTAAGGTTTTTACTTGCCATTAGTAATAGTTTCAATTAATACATCTTAAATAAAGTTACAGTCTTGTGGTAGCATAGCCGACCAGTCCAAAGCGCTGGATTCAGGTTCCAGTCTCTGAGGAGGCATGGGTTTGAATCCCTTTACTGCCTGGTAGTGTGCAGATATTTTCTAATCAGACTGTTCAGAACTTACAAACCTCCGGAGCAGAACCTAGCCACCTGGCTCGGAGCTAGTGACCTTACCTCTGCACCGAAGAGCCTTGTATTCCTTATCAAAGGCCTGTTAACTCCTTCAGGTGAGCAAGTTGTCTTCTGATCAGAGAGCTCTTGTGGGCAGGGTCCCACTTGCCTTAGAAAGGGTTGAGTAAGAATACCTAAATTTATATCTTCCTCAAAGTTTGATGCCTTATTATATTTGGTGCATTCATTTGGTGCACCAGGAAGAAAATGGGGAAAAGCAATCCCATGCTTGGAATGCAATGGTGATGTCTAAATTGCAACTAATTGTATTAAGTCAGAATCTTAATACAATTAATGACAACAGATTGTGTCAGCAGCCAATTTATGTTAAGACTTAATCATCACCGCTCAACTCAGGCTGATTTACTTGCTGCAGTTATTGCACTAGTTTGGAGGTTTAGGAGTTAAACACTTGGCTCCTTGTTGACATACGTGGTGAAAAGATGACCAAAGACTGCATATGGCAATTCAGAGAATGACTGTTTTACCAGGTGAATTGAAATAACTTCTTTTTTTAAATAAAAACAAATAAGTTGTCAATATACACACAACCATTAAGCACTTAATGATTGAATTGAAATAATTAATGGAAGAAAACTGCCAACTGTTCAACATCCCCATCTGAATGTATCACACCTAATCTTGCAACCCTCTGAATGGAATTCGAAGCTTGTTTCTTTGTGAAAGTTCTAGGAGCTACAATTATTCTAAATAGCAGCCCTACTGTTTGACATTATTCTTTCTAGGGATATGGGTATTTGTCCATCTGCAGTATTAGTTGGCAGCCCAGATGTTTTTACAAAAGAACTCAAATTGGAATGGAGAGCACCTTGTCACTGAGACTTTCTTTGGGTATTTTTGTGATCAGTCGCTGTTACTTTTGAAGCACACCTGTACCACCATGCCACACCCAGCCAAGCCTGGGCCAGGACTTGGTCCCTCTCAAGATTAGATCCCCATAGCGCTGGCCTCCAGTTAGGATCAGAACCGCCTGCAATCTGAAGCAGGCCTATCAATCAGTTTGACCTCCAGACTGGTCACCTGTGAGTGTCAATAGGCGCAAGCTGTGAAATTAAATATTTTTGCATTTCCCCTCCAAGACCCCAAGAAAACAGTTAAGGAACCAAGCAACCTTTCTAGTTTCCCAGAATATTTTTCAGAATAACTAAAAGGATTTAGTTTAAGACTGAGAAAGAAGCTTTCTATTGTTTGTGTAACTGACATGGTGTGGCTGCAGCTTGGAAATTATTGTTCACATGGCAAAACTGCAGGACCTGCTATCAGATTAAAAAGTCACTGCTCTGGGAGAAAAATATACAGTTCAAGCCTAGGTTTTTGGAAGGTTCTAAGGTCTTCAAATAAAACCTTAATTAAAAATACAAAAGAAAGTAAATAAATAAATTTTATCATGTTTTTAAGAAGTTTGTATTTCTTTTATTTATTTATTTTTTTATCTGAGTTTGATCATTAGAAATTTCATGTGCTGACAGAAATATACAGTCATATTCTGCGATAACATCTTTTGAATGTTTCAATTTGTTTATGATCGTAAAATGTTGACATGTTGATAAGACCTTCCAATGGCAGAATTTTATCCACAGTTTTGCACTATGATATGACATAGGGCTTCATATTAAAAAGACTACACAAGGTTGTGGTGTATGCAACATGTCTGTTTAATGATTCACTTCATGCAGCAACATTGCAGTGAGTTCATGATGTTAATTGACATAATGGGAAATATTTGATTAGCAATTTAACAACGACAGTGCCTAAAATGGTGCTGTGAATAACAAGATTTACGGCTTCTTCCAACTTCTTATACCAGCTGCAAGTAGCTTCTAGACATGAGTTGAAAATGAGCTAAATGAAAAAGAATTGAACTTAGCACAAAGATGCAAGATACAAGAGAAAAGTGTTTTTTGTCTAATAATTGAAAGCACTTAATACAAGAATGTAATTTAATCATTATAGATCAAAGTTAACTTTGAGTGCAAGAAAGTGATTGTTAAGTATGTGCCATATTTATTATTTAAATTAAATGAAACCATTGTTCCCCTGTTGTAAAATAACCTTAACCTAAATGTATTTATCCATTTCAACAGCACAGAGAAGAGGTATCCACTGACACTTTAGGTTCACATTCAGCAAACAAAAGAAGAAAGATACTGGATTTGACTACTTAGATGTGTTTGTGTTGGCTTTCAAGAAAATACATTAAATTTTAGACCTGTTTTGCTATGTTTTGTCTTTTGCAGTAATGCAATCCTGCTCAGTATACCCCTGCACTTATCCACATCATGGTCAGCATTTAATGGAGGTGATGGGGGCCTTGCCTGCAATTAGAGAGTCAGCAGGAGCCTGTATCATGTCTTATAAGGAAGGCCCAATGCATTAAGTACTACTTAGTCATTTAACTGGATAATGGTGAGCATTCTGCGAGATCGAGGGCCCTAAGAGTGTAAGTTCCACCCATTGATACTCAGAAATCTGCAGCTCTATTACGCAGCAACATTATTGAAGAGGTGGTGCCTCCTGGCAGCACAATGCCTACCCATTGGGCAAGATGGTCTCGGGATCCCAGGCCACAATGGAGTGATAGCAGTTGTGGGGTCTTTCAGTGGGTGGCATGGCAAAAGAGGTGAGAGGGTTCGGCAGCAACAGCAAGGGAATGGCCCTCAGCAGGTCTTCCCCATCTCAAGGAACAACGGTCTCCTTGTCACAAATTGCCTTTGAACAAGGGATGAGCCACCAGGAGCATGGGTTGGTTTGTTGTTATTCATGCATGATGAACTCCCCCAACCACTGTCAGGGCTATTAAGCCCTTGGGAGGCATGTCAACAAACTACGTCTGGTTTGCTAGTGTCCTCCACGGACGGGTTTGGGGTTGAGGTTGTATCGGCCATTCTGAGCCCAAAATAGTGGCATAAATCGGGTGCTCAACTCATAGATGACTATTTGTGGCATTTTATCTCCTTTAGTTTATTGGCAATCTCTTTCTGCTGTTAAAAGTTATGGAAAAGCTGGGAGGATCTTGAGGACAGCTTTTATCAGGGAAATTTGTATAACCATTGAGAGAAGAATGAGTCAGGCTTGAAACATTCCCCTGGAACAATGCATCCTGCTGAAACTACATCTTTGCTGTTTGGAAGAGCTTTTGCACATTTTTCCCCTGTAGTTTCCTCCTGCTAAGCTTTGGAGTTTTTGTGCAAGCTGTAGCACAAGTTACCAGTCACTTTTCGAAGTGGTCATTACATATGTATAAACTGAGGCAATGACTGGCATTAGGCTTGTTTTAAGAAGATGATGAACATGATTCTGCAACTTCTGTTGTTACCCCACATCGACACAGGTTCAATTTCCAGCAGGGGATCAGAACCGCTCTTTGATGCTGGGTATTAAGTTTAAGTTTGACAAACCATAGCAAAAAGGATGGAATATCATGTATCTTCAGATGTAACAAGATCATCCAATGTCCGGCTGGTTCTTTGAGATGTAAGAAAACACATGAGATTCTAGACCTTCTTATCATGTGCTGTTAAAGAATCAATGGTTTCTTCAATTAACCTGTGATTCCATTCTATTTATTAATGTTTTGTTCTTTTCAATTGTGCTGTAATTACTTTGTTGTGACTTTCTCAGTACAATTTATGGGAGAGTATTTGAACCACAATATATTGTGGTAATGTACAGCAGTGACTAACCGCGGCACAGTATTATTGTCCCATGTGCATTGAGGCCATGTGCGATTCAGCATTAGGAACATGAAAGTCCTGTTGGTCACATTACTGTACAGCTGCCCATTACGGTTAATAAATATGACCCTGTCACTAAAACAATCACTTGAACTTATTTTAGCTTCACTTTTTAAAGTAAAATGAAGAATGTATTTATTCCCTGAGTCCACAATGGGTCCATCGGCTGCATTTTATGCAGCGGCGGTAACCATGGCAAACGGGTCCACTTAAACATGGTAGAGAACGAGATGCTGCAAAATTACCCCAGGATTTAATCTGATGAATGGAAAGGTCTGTCGCAGCATTTCTGGCTGGTACAGAGGAATGTCAGTTAAACTTATGAACGAACCAGTTGACACTTATTATCCCTGAAATGAAGGCCTCACTCCAGTTCACAAAGTTGCCCATCAAATGGTGTCTGCTTTTCCAGGGACTCTCTGGTGACTGAAAGGCCCTTGGCTCTCGGCCGCTCTGTGTTTGATTCAGACGTATGGGCAATGGGCCACTGCCTCCGACCTCTGTGTCCCTGTTTCCCAGGGTATCCATCCTGTCTTCACTCAATTGGGCTCTGGGGCTCTCAGTGTGACCCATGCCTCTGATGGGACAGGAATGGCCTGCAGCCACTGCTCCCACTGGCACCACCAGCAGTGCTGAGCTACCATCTTGTGGCCAAGAGGTTTACTACTTTGGGGACCTCCATCACCGGGGAGACC